TCTTTCCTCTTCAGCATTTCACTTTACAGCTGCCTAATCAATCTGTAGCCTGGCCTTAGATTTCTGAAGTTAAGTCAGTACTAGGACGGATGACCTCTAAGGAGAGGCAAGATGGTGGTGTTGGTGTTGGACCAGTAGGTGGTGACATTCCTTTCTTCCTTCCTTCTTGACTAGAATGGTGACCTGGGACACCATGCTGTACGAGGTGCCATCCCTCAGATTGGACAGTAAACCGGGGTCCTGACAGCTTTTGTTATAAGGGATCCCCTGACACTGTTCATGAGAGTTGGGGTGCTACCCCTGTTTTGTAGGGGGGGCTGCGTGTCGCCCGGGTGAGGGTGGCGTGCACGCGGGGTGTGAAGTAGGTCCCCTCCAACATGCAAGGCGCTTTGGAATGAAACGTGCTAGAAAAATGTCAGGAAGTAATTCTGCAAGACAGATCTGATGTTCTCAATTACATCCCCACTCCAGTCTAATCTCACTGCCCTTTGGGGGTCCGCAGCCGAAGTGGGGATGTGGGATCCGTGCGGGAGAAGCAGGACGCTCTCACTGTGGTGGAGAGGGCTCTCTGAACGGTCTCCAGGGTGCCTGGGCGGGGGGCTCACCCGGTGCGTGGCGTGCGTGCTGGGCCGCCCGAGGTGCTGCATGGCGGTGGAGACCGGGGGGTGGAGGGGGTGCGGAAGGGCGATGGTGTGGCACCCTGCATCACGGACGGCGTTGGCGTTGGCGCTGGGCAGGGGGGGCAGCGGCTTGCTGGGTCGGCAGATCACCAGGTGGACTCGCTCCCCGCTGGCCTGTCAGTCCAACACAGGGAGGCAGGGCGAGAGGAAGGGTGGAGACAAAAGGTCATTTCAGTCCATGACTCTTTCACTGTACAGCAATTACAGCTACCACCACCCACTGGGTACACAGTCTGTTTTGTTCAGCTAATCTCTACAATTCATCTTCAATCAATCCAGCACAGGCAAAGTCTACTACTGAAGACTGACAGCTGCTACCCTTTCAGATCCATTAGATATCTTACTGTAATCACACAACTTCAGAACATACCCATAGCCAGAGCCCAGGAAAATAAAATGAGCATTCTCTCCTACAGGATTCTCCGAGTTTTCTCAAACATTTTCTGCAAGCGTTGCAAAAATAATAGCCTTCTACATTAATTTGTTCCTGCAGGACTCATTAACTCAGTGTACCACTTTGTTACTGCTTAGGTGTGTTCTCTGTGCTGTTTTAACCTTTGCTTTACCTTATCCTTGTTGATATGCCTAGTCTTTGTATATTCCAGATGTGGATTTTTACACTGTCTTTCATACAAGTGTAAACTACACCAAGTATACCAGTTCCTCGGTCTCCACAGTACTGTTTAGAGGGTCTCTGTGAACTTTGTACATACGTTTTCGGTAGAAGCTGCAGTATTTTATAAAACGGTCCTACAGAATTGGTTTGAACTGGATTGGAAGAATGCTGGAGACACAATGTAAATCTTGTAAATTTACTATGTAAAAAAATGTAAATTTACTATGTAAATCTATACTGTGTTCTATAGGAACGCGTGCCACGAAACTAAGCTACCAATCGCGTTAAAAGAAGTTATCTTTGGCAAACAGGGAAGAGGAAGATGTGCGTGATTTCAGCGCAGGAAAGCGTGAGAGAGATCAGAAAAATATTTAAGGACTGATCTAATTTAATCACTTTGAGAAAAATACACCGAGCACCCCCGCGTGCATCGCTTCCCTGTGCATGAAAAGAAAAACGTCTTTCAGCTTCTGAGGCGGAGTCCTGGCTGTCTTTCAAGAGGAGGAAGGAAGGGGCGCTCCAATAAGTGCACACCCCCCGTACGGGCTGCGGTACCTGGATGATCTGAGCGGCGAGCTCGGGGGTGCCGTGCCGCAGGTCGTGCCCGTTGATGCCCAGCACGCGGTCGTTGCTGCAGAGGCGCCC